TTTGAGTTGGTGACAGCCAGAGAAATCGCTCCTCTTGACCTCCCGGGCAGAATCGGGTAGGTCTGCATTGCCTGGTCAGCTACCCGATCTCTTTGAGTATACACTGGGCGAAGTAGCGCCTATCTTCGATTAGGAAGTTAGTAGATTGAATATTTATTTACGAGATAACGAGTAAGATTTTATAATTGTTATGATGCAAGAGATTTGTCTGATTTGACATTTGATTCGACTTGACTAGGCAGTTCAAAAGGGTTTTAGAGCCCATCTCCAGTCCGGGCTCTCAATTTCTTGTGTTTACATATTTATTTTGTAAAGTGAGGAACATTGAGAATTAACCTCCTAAACATCATCACCTGCAGGAAAAATTTCAAAAGTTGAAAAGACTCCCGCTAAGGCCTAGAACTATTAGCTCACCTTTGCTGTCAGATGAGGATGAACCATCTGACTGGGATGCGCTAACAATGATTGAGGCAAGCCCTTCGAGGCGACCCATAGATCAAAATTTGCGTAACTCCAGTAATGGCGCAGGCTCAGTTGTTATAGCGAAGCATTCTTCTTTCTTGTTCATTTTGGGATTTCTGGGTTTCAATGGAGAAATCAGTAGTTTGGGGCTAGAAGGATGAAAATTATTGTCCCAAATGAGCTGATATGATAAGCTGGTGTAAAGATCGATAAGTAGTGAGGTAGCACCGGGCTGACATACTTCCGACGTGTGCTGTTTTTGCACAGGTCTTCTATCTGCTGGTTGTGCAACATTGTCTAATATCGTGTCATATTACTCCACTCATGGCAACATCGGGGGTGAGCCACATCATATAAAGGTCCAAGTCCCCTCCTCGCATTACTTCATATTCAACTATGGCTGAGGAAAAACGTACTGCCACCTTCAAAATCTTCTTCGAAGTGCCCCGCTTTACCATCAACTACAAGAACAAGAAGGATCTCTTCAAAGCTTTTCAGAAGAAGCTAGAGGAGCTTAATCTGAACTCTGATGGCATTATGTGGGCAGATTGGGACGGTGACCGTTTTGTAATCAAATCTCCCGACGACCTTCTTGGGGCAGTCGATCTTTACAGCGGCAGCCCCGTGAAAATATTCTATCCTACTCCACGTCATCAGGAAACAACAATCTCCAGCAGTGATGAAGAAGAGAAGAAAGAAGAAGAAAAGAACGAGGAGGAGAAGTGTGAAGAAGTGGAAGTGAAGGGATGCAGATCGCGCTCTCCATCTTGCGATCGTCGTCGTCATCGTTCGAGGTCTTTCTCTTGCGATGAGCGTGGTCCCTATGGTTACTCAAAAATACCTATCAATCCACATGCAGATTCAGGCTTTTCTTACGGTTACTCAGTTCCGCCACCTTACTATTTATTCAATCCAGCGCTGGGGATGGATCCACGCTGTCCTTATATGCAGCCCTATATTCACAAAGATAACTTTTTGCCACCTTTCGCTGAACAGTCCTGCAAATTTATGCCGTCCTTCCTTTCCGAGATACCTTGTAAAACCAAGAACTCCAAGCGACAGCGGCGTCGCCAATGCAGTTGTGAGCGTTTGTGTAAGGATTTGAGCAAAATGTAAAATGTTTGCTTTATGCAAGTTGTGCTGTTACTCCACTCACTTTGTTAATAAATTGTGTACTTATGCCTGCTTGTTACAATATAGAATAACTTTTATTTGATGTTATTGTAAATTTCCGTAATACGTGCGAGCGAAATAAGAGGAAAACCAAGGATTATGCATCACAGCGCTGACGTAATTCAATATCAGCTCATAAACTTACTTACTATTAGGTTGATGCATAATTCCTGCACCAAAATAGGT